TCTGGTCTGCTGGACTGGTTGGTGGGTTGGGGGTGGGGCCTTGGCTTTTCTGGATCCTGAACTGCTTGTACCTTCTAGGTTGTCTCCACCATGCCCTCAAGCTGCTCTCTTGCAGCATGGGTGGGGCCAGGCCTTCAGGGAAGAGGCACTTGTTTGAGCACCAGGTGACCAGTGCCGGTCAACTGTGACTGAGGCGAGTGCTGACCTCAGATTCAGGCTTGGGGACAGTAGCCAGCATGTTTGGTGCCCTCTCTGACACAGAAGAGCTAAACCCCTGTAGGTGTGGAAGCTGCTTTGTGGCTGGCTGTACCTTGTGCCCCTCTGCTTGGCACTCTTTTGTGCCTCCTACCTGTCAGTGGAACTCTGGGTGGGCGATGAGGGGCTGGAAGATTCCTGTATCTCTGTTACTTCTGGCCAGGTGTGGTTAAAGAGAAAAGATGGTCTCCTGTTGGGTGCTTTGGGATGGGCTATCCTCCAGCATAGCCCCAAGACTCTTGTGAGAAGTACCACTTGAGGAAGTGAAGGAGGGCCACAAGAGAGGGAGGTGGGATGACAAATTTTCCAGGAGATCTGGGCAAAGAGGCCGGCCCAGGGAGAGAAAGCAGGTGGTCCCTCTTTCCCTGTCCTTCATCTTTCTCTCTAGGGCCCACCCTTCTGGTTGGAAGGGAAGGTGGAGAAGTTTTCTGAAATCTGGAGGCCTTCAGTCAAGGTGCCCACAGTGGTGTCTGGAGTAGGGGTGGCGTGGAGGGGGGGGGCGGGGTTTGTTCCTGCCTGCAGGAGGTCAGGCATTGAGTAGAACAGATAGCATTTTTCTGGGGCATACTGCTCATGAGGGTCAGGAGTGCCAGGTGTGAAACACTCCCTGGGTTTGGCCCCTATCTGTGGGGCTGGAAATGGGTATGGGGTGTGCTCCACTTTCTCCAGGAGGGATGCAGTGCCTGCTGCCAAGCCCCAGGGAGGTGAGGCTGCCAGCCTGGTCTCCAGAGGGCACCACACCACTGGAGGTTGAATGACCAGGACAGTTATTTATTTATTTATTTTTTTTTCTTTCTTGATTTTTAAGTGATCTCTACATCCAACGTGGGACTTGAACTCATGACCCCAAGATCAAGAGTTGTATGCTCTTCCACCTGAGCCAGCCAGGCATCCCAGACCAGAGCAGTTCTGAATGCCCAGGTCTCCTGGAGCCCAGGCTTGGACACAATGGGTGTCCAGGCTGAGTTAGGCAGTTCCCATGAGATAGGTGGTTGGAATTGTTCTCCTGTGCTCTCTGCTTAACCAAAGATCACTTTAAAACTTCTCATGGCCTCTGAAAGGCTGGACTAGTGCATGCTCTTCTGCTTTTTGTAGAATGCTAGGAAAAGAGAGAGGCCTGGAGGTGACCCTATTCTAGCCTCCCCATGAGCTCTTGAGGCCATGTAGACTGCCTGGGATCATGGGCAAGTGGGGTTCCTAATGGGGTGCTGCTCCAAGGGTCAGAAGGCCATGGGCCCTGCCTCCTGCCATCCTCATTGGCTTCTTGTCTAGTGTGTGTTTGATGGGATGCAGGGTAGGAGATCTCAGGTCAGTATCCTTGACCTAGGGCTTTGAATACCTACCAAGAACCTGTGATGGCTGCCTAGCCAGGATGGAATCAGGAGGGACAGGGATCTGTTCTTGCCATTACCACTCTACCCTCATGGGCTACTTGTGTGCCTAGGATGAGTGAATGTTAGGTGGTAGTGGGCTGCTGAGAAGGGCATGTCCTTTGGAAGCCTCCGTTCTTTCACTCTTTGTTGGAATTTTTTTTTCAATATGAGGTAAAATTGACATATAACATGGGACCCAAATTTCTGGTGAGCCCTTGAGTTTTGACCAGTGAGTTCATTAACCTTAACCCAAACCTAAACCCAGATATAGAGCCACCCTGGGCCTAGAAAGTTCCTCATGTACCTTCCCAAACAGTGCTCACCAAACCTTCTACAGGCTCTTCTGATTTTGTTTCTACCATGATTAGTTCTGCCTGTTCTAGAACTTAATTTAAATGGAATCTTGCAGTCTGTACTCTTTTTGCAAGGTTTCCTTCACTCAACATCATGATTTTGAGACTTATGCATGTTTGTACATCGGTTTTTTTTTTTAGAACTTAAAAAGTAATACACACTTATTTTAAATTTTGAATATTATAGAAATGAACATAACAGAAACTATAGTTTTCCTGTACTTCCATCCCCCCCCCCCCCCCCCCCCCTGCCCCAAGATAATCTTGTTTATTGGTTGGGTGTTCATGCCCCCAAGATGTTTCTTTACCTGGATGCAGCATGCACAGGTTGGAGCCTTTTGGCCGGAGGGTAGACAGGAAGAAGCAGCAGACAGGTGCGGGGAGCTCCCCCTGGCTCAGCTCTATTGGCCTGACCTTCCCTTAGGTGGGTGTGTCTTTTAAAAGTCTCGGATGTCTGGGCCCTAGACTTGTCCTCACCGTGTGTATGTGGGGATTGCCGTTGGCTTTTCCGTGGCAGGGACTTGGAGGGGAAGGAAAGAAAATGTTACAGCCCAACTAGGTAGGTGGATGTTGACCATTTTGTAAACCGGGACCTGGGAAGGTAATCCAGCTGTTACAGCCAGGTCTTTCTGTTCATTACCACCCCTACCCCACCCTCAGCTTTTGTGTTCATAAGAAGGAAGGAGGCAGAGCTGGCTTTCCCCAGGGACTGTGTTTCTCCTGCCCTTACCTGCTGGGGTCAGCCTAGCCAGGGATTCTCCACACTACACCCCCAACCCATCCCACTGCCCCAGATCCTGGGTTTCCTGGAGCCAGTGCTCTGGCAGGCAACGGTTTTGAGCTGGGTGTGGATCCTTGGGGCTGATAGGCACGCTGCCTGGGCCTGCTGCCAGGGGGCTGCTGGGTGCCAGGAGCTGGTGCCAAGAGGTATCCTCATCCCAGCCTGCAGGCTCCTGCCAGGGCTGAGCACCAGCCCATGTACCCAGTGGGGTGTTGCACTGCCGGCTTACTGGGCCAGCCCCCACAGCCACGTTTCTAGTTACCTGCCACCCCCCACCCCCAGGCCCGCCGCCTCCCCAGGGCTGTGTCCTCTCTAGCTTAGGCGCTTGCTGCTCCCACACCCTGTGTTGAACAGTAGGGCAGAGGACTCTGCTGTTTTTTGCTGGGAAGAAAAGAAGCAACGCCTTGCAGGGGTCTTGGCCCTGCAGCAGGGGTCACCCCCTCACAGACATAGTGGCGGCCCACTATGCTGGCTGTGAATTCCCAGCAGGCAGCTCCACCGGGGCCCCACCCAGTGGAGGGTGCAGCGAAGCCTACTCAGTCCTGTGGGGAAGTTTGGGCTCAAGAAGAGTCCTGTCTGACCCAGCCTGGGAGGACTTGGTCAGTCAATGTGCCTTTCCGGGGCTGTGAAGTGGCTGGCACAGCTAGAGCAATGGGTACCTGTGGAAGCCCTCAAGTTCTGTTTTGCTGCCTGCTCTCTGCCTGGTTTTCTGTAGTTGGACTGATCTCCCACAAGGGCAAGTAATCCCTAGTTGCAGGGCCTGGCACATAGTGAAGCGGAGGCCACTGTGTGGATGCCTCAGCAGGGCTTGGGTTGCCCTGAGATCTGGTGGGGAGCACGCAGTGGCACAAGGCTGTATGGTGGGTGTCTGGTTGGCTCGAACATATCACTGTGTCTCCCTGTCCATTTTTCAGGGCTGCTCTCACCAGCGCCCAGGTGGTCTCTGCCCCCTTCCCAAGGCTGGGCTCTATTCTGTGCTGGCCATTTCTGGTAACACCCAGCAGGGGAGCCTGAACTCTTTACACAGGCAAGGGGCCCAGGCCACCTTCATTAAATGTAGATGCCCTCAGGCCTCTGGACCTACGGAGCTGGTTCTGCTGCCCTCTGGGCCATGGGTAGGTTCCTGGACCAACCATCCCCCCCCCTCCATTTCCCCCACACCCCTGGGCTACCCCATGAGAGGGGAGCTGTCCTAGGGGCCAGAGAGACAGCTGGTAGGCTGAAGCTGAGGCCTCCCAGCCACCCCGCACCCCAGGTCTGGTCACATTCCTGAGGGACCTGCTGAGCCTCCCTGGCCCAGGGGGTGGGGGAAGGGCAGGCAGGGATGGGCCTAGGGCTGCTGCAGGCCTCCACCCCCACCCCTGGCTCCATTCCAAGGGAGCCCAGACCTGCCTGAGTTGGGTGCAAAAAGCCAGAACCTCAGGATCCTAGGGATCTGCAGCTCTGGGGGGTGGGAGTGGGGAGCGGGAGCCCCTCCGCATCTGGCTGCAGCTGCCAGCTGCTTTGGCGGGCTGGTATTGAAAGGCCTGTCTTGCAGAAACTCCTGCAAGGGGAGGCCATGTGGTCAGGCTGGGCTGGGCAGGAGGGGGCTGGGCCCTCTGGGGGGTGGGGGGGGGGTGGCAAGAACAGATCAGGAAGGG